GTGACCAAAAAGTCAAAAAATGAAAGTGTGAAATTTCAAATGAACATGGCAAATCACAACTAAACATGCATGCTCTCTACAGGGTAAACCCACCAGGCTTGGACATGACATGGCAAGAACCCACAATTAATGAAAATGCAACAATGAAAATGCAAAATTACTATGTGTACACTGTAGATTTTTCAAAAACAAATCATATGCAAATACAACATATTTCAACTGAAACATATAACTTTTTCAATTCAAAAAACATTCAAACATGTTGTGGTGAGACTTGGTGACCAAAAAGTCACCGACACCACATTTTTCAGTCCTCGGAGAGCTTTACCAGCTAACCCTTAAGCTAAATGGTTAGCAAATCAGCTAACCACTTAGTAACCTAGGGTTTGTTGAAGTGGCTAACCTCTAACAAACAAGCTAAGAGGTTAGATAAACGATATAAAGTTTATAGAGGTTAGCCTCAAACCTAGAAGTGGTTAGAGAGGTTATAAACCATTACTAGAAGTTATAACCTACTTACTAGAGCTTATAACTAGCTTATTGGAACTTATCTAACCATTTATAACTCTTCTAACCAATAAGATCTTCGCGGGACATCCCAGTACGGGCGGTGGAAAAGTGGAAAATTACGTACAATATGAATTACGAAGCAGTGAATTAAGTCGAGCCATGTCAAACGAGGATATCAAGGTTCAAAAACAAAACCAACCCAGAAAGCAAACGCGACCCCACAAACTCATTGGATTCTCCGGACATGGCACATGGTCCAGCTGGCAAAACTTGAATGTCGTGGAGAACGAGCACGCCAAATGTCAGCAGCGGCCGCGGCAGCTTTTCTTGTGGACGACCCCGGTATGTGTAGGAGAAGTGAGACAGTCTGGTGAGACTGTTGTAGAGGTGAAGTTGTTGGCTGCTGGTCGGTGTGGTAAATGTGGAACTGTTGTCACAGGTCGGGCGGAGTGGCATCCGCTGACCAGGCGAGGCCACGGACAATGGCGTTCTTAGGGTCGATGACCCAGCATTTTGGTGGAAGACAGCGCCGTGCTGTTGTTGGAGGAGGTTAGCGGCTTGCTCTGCGCCTCCCTGAGCGATCTTCTTGCCGGCGCCCCACGCAAGAAGTGCGACGATGATTGAGTGGGAAGTTTTGGCAAGGTTCCAGGTGTTGAAGATTATGCGGGCATTCTCTTCGTGGTCGCGTGGAAATTGTTGAGTAGCTCGAAAGCCCTGTGCGAAAATTCCCCTGTTGCGCTGAAAGTGAAGAGTGCTGGGGAGGAAACGGCCTTGTTGGAGGACGCTGGTGATGTTGCTGACTGGGCCAGTGTGGCCTCCTAGGATGTGGGCAATTCTGGTGTAGTGTTGGTGGTGCGGGCAGGTTGAGGTGGAAAGCGTTGATAGGCTTTGGCTGCAAGTGGGGGATGGCGATGTGGTTGAAGTGGAAAAGGTCATAGCAGTTGGTGTCGTTGTTCCATTTGATGTGTGTAAATTGTTTGTAGTCGCAGACATCGGAGTAGCGAGAAGGCGGGCCACGTAGGAATGTTGCGGTGTGTTGGGAGTGTCAAATTGCTCTGCGTGATAATTGAGCCAGATTTCAAGCTGCTCTTGAGCTGGCTTGCTGGTGAAGAGGGGTGGTTCTTTCCAGGAGTTGAGCGCTCGCCGCGCGCTTGGATGTTTGGGATAGGTTGCGGCTGCAGCTGTGTCGTTGTTGCGGTCAGCAAGTTCAGTATTGGAGCGCAATGTGATGGGTTGTCGGTTGGAGCGAGAACGGCTGCGGGAAGAGGAGTAGGAGTAGGATGTGGATGGGTCTCAAGATGCCGAGTTGGTGTGTGAGTGGCGGGTTCCATGCTGAGTCAGTGGCGGCGTCGCCTGCGGTGAGGTTGCTGTGGTGCAGGAGGCGGGCCCTCCGTGGGGGTATCAGCTGTGGTGGCATGGTGTGTGTGTTGCCTGTGTTGCTTTGGTGTCGGTAGTGTTGGGGGCGGAAGTGCTCTGCTGAGGAGAAGATTGCTGAGTGGTTGTGGTTTGAGCCGGGTTGGTGGATGCCGGCTGACGTGGATGGGATTGGTTGGTATGGCATTGATGGAATTTTGCGCGGTCTGTTCCTGGCCGGTGGGATGGGTTTGGCCCGCGCTGGTGGACCCGACCGCTGGAGTAGGAGGTTTGGATGGGTTCACTGGTGGAAAGGCCGAAAAGGATGTGGCTGCCAGACTCCTTGGTGAGGATCCCAGGTGAGTGTGGCAGGTTGCTGGGCGGGGGTCGGTGCTGGAGTTGCTCTTGCGGTGGCAATGCAGTTGGAAAGCTGTAGGAAATTGGAAAAGTGGCGCCGGATGTGGAACTGGCTGAGGAAATGCAGCTGGTGGTGTTGGAAAGGTGGGGTGTGAAGGCCATGTCGGGTGTTGCATCATGGGAAATGGATGGCACGGTGTGGATTGCGGTGGAAACTGATGTGGAACAGGCATCGCCTGAGGTGGGAGGTTGTGGTGGGTATGGATATGGCCAGGGGAATTGCATGCTGCTGAACTCTCAACTGACTGTTGTCGTCGGCAGCAGCGCGGCGGCGGCAGCGCGAAGAATCGGCGCCAAGCAAAATTCCAGTGGAGCACAGTGAAAGGGTGCAATGTAGGTGGCTGAAATCATTCAAAAACCTCGCAAACTGATTGAGGGTGTTCGAAAAAAGTTGAGAAAGGACAAGCGGAAATCATCATTCCAACATGTAACAGTGCATGGAAAATTGGACAAGTTCAGCTGCATGTTATTCGAACCTTGAAAGCTCTGGAGAGAGACTCCGTAGACCCGGCGGTGTTGAAGCTCCGTAGACCCGGCGGTGTTGACATTCAATCCAGAAAAGATACAGTAATCTAACGTGTGCAGAGAACGCTGTATCAGTATGTGATTCACGATGGTTTCGGCGCCTCTCTTGCGAGAGGATCACACTCTGCACCCAGTAGGACGAGAGAGCGGCACACACTTAGACAATGGGTTTGCAGTTACACCAATTCCCCGAGGAAAGGAATGGCTCAACGGCAAGGTGAAGCGTCCGATCACTTGAAGGTGATTGAAAAAATGTTTCTCTCGTCTCTCATTTGCGGAAGACTGCGGTGGCAAGCTGCAGAAGCGCGGCAGGAAAAGGGTTTAGGGTAGGTATCGTGCGGAACAACCATGGCACCAACAAACAGCGGCGAAAATTGGAGTGGTATCACGATGCAGGTACATGGTTGAGCGTCCTCAACCACTTCCCTTCCAGTGACCCAGCTTCGTTGGATCAGGTTAATCAGTTTATCACTGGAAGCCTGATCCCCCTGCACATACTGAGAAACTCTTTGGGACAGAGTGTGACACACACACAACACACACACACAAACACTAACACTAACACCGCACCAGTGGACGGACCCATTTTTGCAACTTGGAACTCTCTCTTCAAGACTTCCTTCTGTTATATTGTAATATATAATTGCAACTACAACATAGTAATTGAACAACGCCAGCTGAGCGCCTGTGCATGCAACTCTCCAAGCGGCTTGTCTTTACCCTGGACGCAAATGCAGCACAGCTGTCACAGGGCACTTTGTCACGACTCATCAAAATCCAGGCGCTACAAACTTGCAGTAGCGCACGATTGACAAATGATGGGGATGCTGTTGAATGGCCTTGGATTGGAGATATTGATGGATATCACCTCAGCATCCAAGAAGGACAACCAAACATTTGAGATCATTGAACACATGAGCTATATACTCTAACACTGGCTTGGCTGCAAACATGTAAAAGAAAAACAAAGTTTCCACCCAACATTCAGGAACCAAATGAATAGAAGCCGGAGCTTCCTGCGTCCTGCCACTAGTAGCTTGAGTTTGCGACTACTTTAACAAATTACTTACTTATTTACTTTCGTTCTTTCCTTCTTTCTTTTGCTGATTTCTTTACTTTACTTTACTATATATACTAATTTCCTGCACCGTACTTGAAAAGAAGGCTTTGGCAAAGCTCACAACGACACACTTCGCTTGGAGGCCGAGAGCTTCACCAATACCATCCTCTCCCTGCTTGGCAACAACAGCTGCCACAGCAGTTGCTGCTGCAGCGGCCCTGTTGGCATCAAGCTACTAGTAACACGTGCATCGCTACTAGTAAGAAGGCCATTACTACTAGTAGCTAGAAGCTACTAGTAACAATTACTTTTCAATTGACTCCAAGTGACCTCGTAGCGCTAAACAGTGACACTGAGGCATAGTCCCAGTTCCAGCTTGGCCATTCCGTTCCAGCACCAGCGCAAGCCGTGCTAATGACTCGACCTCTAGGAATGAACCTAGCCATTCCTACTGCAAAACAATCGCAACAACCAGCAAAAAGACTTTCCTGTAGACTCAAACGTAACTCAGCTGAGGAGACAACAAAAGATGTTGGCTGTGCCCGATCTTCGCTTGGGTCATTTCCAAGGCCTATTGCAACACAAGTAAAGCAAGTAATTATTGCATATCGAGGCAATGGTCAGGAGTGTATGTAAAGCATTGATCTGGTCAGTGTCCCATACCTCGCCACTACACCACGTCTCATTTGCGATTCGGGCTTCTAGCACTTACTGTAACACATATTATCACTGTAATTATATGAGACATATTGACTATGTTACGAGAACTTGCATGGTCATGATCACACGGCTCTGCGCTTGCCATGGCTGCACCATCTTTTCAGAAGCCCCTTGAAAGAGCTTCTTGTGATTGCTACTCTGAATATGCCTTGCCCTCTTCCCCAATACAAAGTTTGCTTGGTTCTCGCACAGAAACTCATATCAAAATCACAATGTTGCTTTACTTACTGTGCAGAAGAATGTCCGTGTGCGAGGTGACTGAGGAGATTGGGTGGCGCTGATGACGCATGAGGCTTGGCTGAGACTCAACTAGCCAACTGTGTTCAAACAGGCGGCTGAAATGGACTATGTGACAATTGACTATATAGGGCGGCCCTGCCAACATGTTCATTAAGTAAGGACGATCGAAAAGCCCAATCCACGCCTTCTGGAGACGCCTTCTGAAGCTACAGGCAGAGAACTCAAAGCAGCTGGGGCAGTCATCGAAGCTATCAATGCAAACTGCTAAAACGTTTTCGCAGCCTGGTCGGCGACAGGAGGCCTCACCTACAATGAAGATATTGATGATATAGCATGATATGATATAGCTCTATAGTACAAATCAAAGGTTCAGCGGCGTCTAAGGAGCTTGCACGTGGTGGTTCAGGGGAACGGCTAACCTCTCGAGCTCCTGAAAAAGTTTGTAGACAGTGTCTTGGTTCAGCAATGGAGCTTCAGCAACTTGAACTAGCTCGAGCATGGGAAGGTAGTGGTAAATGCCCAAAACATGGATTCGGATGGTTGCGGGGGTGGGCTTCCTACAAAAGACTGTCTGGCCAAGGAAGGTGTGCACTGTGTATGCAAGTCCGCTTTCTCTACGCCTCCGCTGCAAGAAGTTCCATAGGGCTGCCAAACTGCTGTCTTCTAATGCCAAACAAAAAAACAAGCAAAAAAACTACAAGCAGAAACATCAACGAACATAACATCAAATTGAGCCAGAATCCGCCCCACAATACAAATCACTTGCGGTCACTTGCGCTGATGTATTCTTGCTGCTGACGTTTCAATCTATCTTGGTTGACGACAAACACATCCCCTGTCCTGGCTTTCGGACTGGAGATGCTCGCCCCGGCTTTGTACCTTGCGCGAGGGTTTTCAAGAAAAGCACCAAAAAAAAGGCTTTCAAAACATCCTTGGAGACTCAAAGACAGATATGAAACAATGGAGCCTCAATTGTCAATGAAAGATAGTATAAAGGACAAGAACGCGCCAGAAAGCGCAAAAAAAAGCGCTGCCAAAACCGCTTATATGAATAGACAACACATGAAATAATCAAATGTCGGATTGTTTAAACAATCAAGCTACAGTATATAGTAGCTGTAGAACATGCTGCATGCTTGATGCTTTAGTCAACAATTCCACACAAATCTGAAGAGCTGAAGAGTGTCATGTTGTGTCTTGACCCTCGCCTTTAGGTGATACATTTCGAAGTGGTGAGTCACGCCGTATTGAGGCTGACGAGGCGGACACCTGTTTTAACGCTCAAGCTCCGAAATCTTCAACACATCAGCGCATGTATAATATGCAATTCATATGCAATTTTGTCCAATTGTCTTACAGACTTCACTAAACTTTTGTGAGTCTATACATGTCTAAACAACTCTATTCGCCAAGAAAGTAATCAAGGAAACAAGCTCTGCCTTGGCATCTGTGCCTGTGAGCCGCACAACGAATATAACTTGAATATCAGTGTATATGTGCCTGTCATTTTTCAACTGTAAACTCGTGCAGCGCCATTTCTTTAAGTCTGGAGAACAAACAACATCTGTCCGCATCTGCAGTAGTAGCGTACTGGGTTGCCTCCGCTGGAGCGCCCAGCAGATCTTGCCCGTCTTACCGGCTCCTGGCCACTGAAAATCGTCCAAAAAGGACAACCCAGTCTTCATGTCTTCATTATTATTCAAACGGTGCGAAATGATAGACGTGGAACTTCCGTGTAATCGACAAATGCCAAAAATGCACCTCCAGCACATCTTTGGAGTGAGGAGTAGTAAGGCCTACCCATGCTGCTGTGGTGCAGTCGGCTTGCCAACAAACATTCTAGTTTGCAGCGCCTGAAGATTGCCCGCCACTTGGACCGTTCCTTGTGCACAAGAATGACAGAATTGCGCCATGTGCAAGTTGGTTGCACGCAAACGCGGCAAACTGTAAGGCAATAGCAAACTGGACGAAGAGACAGTTGAGGCAAACGGTGCCCGACCTTTGGTGTTCTCTGCAGGTCTCATCTAAGTCTTTCTTGTACCATGGTGGCAGAGAGGCGAACTTGACCCAATCATGTAAAGGCTGCCTTTTGATCCAGCAAGTCGCGCTAGTTGTGGTTTGGTTGTTCACGCTTCACATGTGCCATGGTCAAAGCTCCTTCAGTGGGATTGTCATCCTATTCTTACTAAGACCCCTAGCAGGGGTTGCACTAAAGTCACGCAAAAAAGATCCAAAAAGTAGCCAAGTGTTTAGAAGTCTAGACGCTTTTAACCATGGCACTCGTGTTTGCCTCAAACTGGCAAATCTGTGAGCCTGATAACCCAGAGCCTATCACTATATACACAAGCTGGAAGACGGAAGAAGGCTTCTCCACGAAATGCCTGCCTTCCACTTGCAAGGTGTTGTCTTAGCATCCCATGCGCTTCTTTGTCCAAGCTGGAATCTGCTACTATGCATGCCTTCGGATGCTGGACAATGGCCAACGCGACGCGACCAACCCCAAATTGGAAAGGCCCAGGAACTTGCCTCACACCAGAATCTGCGGTGTGACTGACGTCTCATTGCTGGACTTCGACGCCGTTGAAAAGAGGAAAACCTTGAAACGGAGGCCCGAGCGGAGGCAAGTTCAGAAGGCGTTTTCTGTGTGTTTTAACACACGAGGAAAAGAATTGTGTTTGGGTCCCTTCAATAAGCCCTTTACAGGTGCCTTATTGACGGAACCCAAGCACCTTCTTTTCTCCACCGCTTTTGATTCTTTTCTTCAAATCCGATTCTCCAATCTTGCGCAAGTCTCCTCGTCGAAGTACGGCTGGAAAGCTCGAGAGGTCTGGTGACCATAAATGAGCCGTTTTGCCTGCACCAAAGGTCCAATATGGGCCAATAAGGGCCATCGGCCACAAACCGAGAAATTCCCACAACAGCTGATTGTAGCTGGAACTGCTGCCTCATCAGCCACTGTTCGAAAGCTCCTTATGTTTTTACGTGCCTGCACAGAGAATAGTGCTTGTGCAGTGCTCATGTCACAGTCTCTCTCACCTCATATTGCTTCATACGTGCGGCGGCATTTATTTGGTACTAACTCAAATACACTATCTATTATGTGGGGGGCCCTATCTCGTTTAGAGTACTTAAGTAGGAGGTCATGTAACAGTATCTCGTTCAGACTACTTGAGTAGCACACTATCTCGTTCAGACTACTTCAGTGCCATCAAGATCATCAAGCAATACTATCCCGTTTATGTGGGGGCCCTATCTCGTTCTGATAAACAAGCAAATAGAGCATGCCGTAGACTACTTTAGTAAAGTCTAAATAAAAGTGGTTACTCATATGTTCATATTTTTGCATGTCCTTGCTATCCTCAACCGGCTCAAGGGCTTGTCCGCAAGAAGCTGAGCCTAGTTTGAGTCCATAGCTTGGAGAAAGAAGTCTTTTTCTTCGGGGCATATCTATCTATCTACTATGTCAATCTGTGATATCATGCTGAGCTGTTCTGCTCCATGAAGCAGCACAGTGGAGCAGAATGAGCAATAAAATGTACAAGTAGGTAGCTGTCCAGCCTGCTGCACAAAGAAATTCGACAAGAATTGAGTGACTGCAATAGCCTGAGAAGCTGAGGAGGTCAGTGTCCAAAAGTCCCGCATAGTTCTATAATGTTTTGTCTAAACTTCTTAGTTTTTGCGTGTTATGGGCCAAGCATTCTTGGGTCTTGGCATTTGGAGTGTGCAAAGCGAGTACGGCAGGTTGACCACTTGGAAGGAAGCCTTACAAAGAAAGTGCCATGACTGGCAACTGCGTTGAATTCTGGTCTGGCATGGTCTGGCTAAGGTCCTCTCCGTGTTCAAAGGCATTCTTCTCTGGGTGAAATTGAACACCAAACCTCATCAAAGTGCATGCTGATTGAAGGCATTCCTTGCATGAAACTGCTGTCCGATTTACGTTGCCTATGACAATGCTGAGGTAGCGTCCAGGGCAAACCATTCACACCCTCGACAACGCTGACAAATTCCTGTCGGTGCGGTCCCTTCCGCAACCATGCAACCCATCTTCAAGAATCATGAATATGCATTGATGCATTCTGCTTCGGGATGGATAAGTTGTTCGATCTGATCTTGATTCTCTACCCGCCGGTAGAGACTCTATTGCACTCGAAGGTTTGGTCCTTGCCGTCTTCATCAAAGCTCGTTGCAAGGACCTTCTCAAAGCAACAAAGCTGCTTGCGCAAGAAGTCTTGGAGATTGGCCTTCAGCGTCTTCCAAAGTTCAGGTTTCATCCACTCCGCCTTGGCCGCAACGACTTTACAACCACACAATACAGGAAGAAAGTGATGGTAGGTTTGATACAACGGTCAGTAGAACCATTCTGTTCCAAAGGAGGTATGTTCTGGCCGCCTGGCCTTTCCAAGTTTCTGAGGACAATTGCATTGCCAATTGATGTCACTTGTATTCACGTGTATTTCACTTGCAATTCTCTCGTGTGGGTGACCTATGACTTCTAGACCCTGGAACATGGGGCTGGGGCTAGCAGGATTTGGCAGGTGCTGCGAGTCGAGCAAACATGCGGTACAGCGCTCTCTCTCTCTCTCTCTCTCGCTCTTTTTCTTGTCAAACGCGATCAAACGCGTCCTGCTGAAACCAGCTTCCGTGCAGCCATTGTGGCAGAGATGTCGTATCGCATTTCAGCAGCTGCACCAACCCCAGAGACTTCATTCTCAATCTTCTGTACAGTGTCAGCTGCAAAACGGGGCAAGCAAGCAATGGCACCAACATTGTCCACAATCTGGGAGGGTCGTGAAGCACCAATAATTGCAGTGCTTACATGCTGATTGTGCAGCACCCATGCCAATGAAAGTTGAGGTAATGAGCAGTTCATCTCTTCGGCAATTGACCGAAGCCCAAATGCTGCAGCTATCTGCTTGTCTTGCTTGGCCAAACTTTCTTTCCTGCCGACCAAAGCTGCTCTGCTGTCAGCAGGCACTCCATTGCTGTAACGTCCTGCCAGGATTCCTTCAGCCAAGGGGGAATACACAGTCAAGCCAAGGCCGTGGGTGCGATAAAGGGATGCGTATTCCCGCTCTACCCTGTCGCGGTGGAACAAGTTGTACAAGGGTTGCTCCATCAGTGGACCTTGCAATCCCAAGCGCATCGCCACACCATGTGCATGTGTGATGTGCTCAGCTGACCACTCACTGGTCCCCCAGTAAAATGCCCAGCCTTAGTCCACAACTTGCGAAGTTGTAATACCCTCACCTACCTCAGTACCAGCCAATTGTTCATACCAACTCCTACAAGATCCTACAAGTGTCAAAGTATAATACCTCAAATCAACATTGTCAATGACACTGACACTTGCCAGATCTTGCCAGCGGGCAGGGCAAGGGGACCCAACAACTGCCAAAAAAGATTATTGGTTCTTTGTCTGCGCCACCTCGGTCGACAATATGATTCATTGCACGCACTGTCTCTTCCATGGGTGTGGTGACATCAGGCCTGTGGCAAAAGACCAAATCCACGTAACTGAGCCTCATTCGATGCAAAGCACTTTGCATCCCTTCGACGATATGCTTCCGACTGAGCCCTCGATCGTTCACCCCATTGCCGCCGTCAAAGATTTTCGTTGAGATCACCAGGTCAGATCGCAGCACCTCTCCCAACTCCAAGAGCTGGTGAAGTGCCTGGTCGAGAAATGGACAAAACGGGAAAACAGCAAAAGTAGCAATCAGTTGGCAATCAAGAAGCCAGCACTCCAAGCAGCTACTGTACTAATCTCGGTATTGATTGGTATCGAGTTAGCGGCCTGCCCCATGATGGACTCCGATTCTCCCGGAAATGCGCCATACACTTCAGCATTGTCTATAAAGTTGATTCCAGACCGAATGGCAGCCTTCAGGATTTCAACCTGGCCCATCTGCACCGATCTGTGCTACGAAAGGGATCATCAGTCTTGGAAAAAGTGAAAGCTTTCAGCCAAGCATCGTGTTTTTCCAGGTTTACCTGACAAGCTTGGCACCACGGACGAAAACAAACCTGTGAACGTGAACGGCCTACACCATGAATTCTTGAGATTTCTTCAACGCTGAAGTAGTTCTACGACACTTTTCCGGATGCCAAGACTGATGGGTGGCCCTGGCTTCCACTCTACCCCAAGAATCCCCCGATCAACCAAGCGCCGCAGAAATATTTGTAGGGGTTTTGAATTCAATGGTGGCCCGCGTTCAGCATCACTTATGGACAACAAATTACTTCTTCTATATGTTTCGCGTGCGCTCTGCAAACCCAGGTACGGCACCAGTCTCGGAAACTGTGAGCCAAGCTCCATAGGAGATTGCCGATACTCGCAGTCCAGACTGACCCAAAGGGCCTTGACATGACAGTCTCTAAGACATTCTGAGGTCTTGTAAGAAAGTGTAATAAAGTAGGGTATGTCAGGGTATGTCATATGTCACAATATATCACAATGTCATGCACCACTCATCTTCAGCATCCTGGATAACTCGTAGTCGCAGGTCAAGCAACCGAGTGGCGGTAGAGCATGGGCGATGCATCCTTGGCACAAGCTGCGAAGGCTGCACGCTTGTCTTGATCGAAGTATGAATGCAATTCCAAACTGAAGCTCTCCACGTCACTCACAAACAACCAGTGCAATACCCAAATCATTGAGCAAAGTAAAGTCTCATACTGATGCAACTGAAGGGCTGGCGAAAAGGGTGACGATCTGTTTTGAGTGCAGCTGCTCGTGCCACTGGTCCGCCAAAGCAAAAGCAACAACAATGGCCACATTGCTAAAGCAATTGAAACTGTAGACTGTTGCCTTGCAAGTTTGATATTCACATATAGCTTTATCAACTTAGTTGAGCATTCTAATCAACATTTGAAATCAACATTTGCCTTTCGTGGCCTTAATTGTTAGGATACTTGCTTGGCTATTCTAGGTGCAGTCACACAACGACACAAAGGACTAATTAGTGCTTCGATCCAGCTGAGGTAGAACATCGATAAAGG